ACAGTAAACCCTCGTTAACAAGAACATGAAAAAATCAGACAAATAGTTCGTGTTACAGGGGAGTTCGTGTAATCCGAACAATGCAAAAAATTAATTCGTGTTTCTAAACTCAATATTATGATTCATCATAGAAACATTTTTATTAATAATTTTGATATTATTATTTTATATTTACAATATTTTTTATTATAAATTTTTTAACTTAACATTATTATTATGACATATTATCCGATTTTGACTGTTTGTTTTTATTTGTTCATAAAATACATTTCGATATTGTTTTGGCGATAAGTTGGTCGGAGTTTGCGTGCACATTCGAAGTTGATCGTTTCCAGCCCATCTAAAAATGCGTCTGAAACGTTGTTCGTCGCTGCATAACGAAGAAATATATCGAGTGCATCTCTGACCTCCTTCGACGTTGGTGGGATGACTTCTTCGATATCGCTCTCATCACTGGACTTTTTGTCCCACACAAGACTTTTTGTGCCACAATTTTTTTGTGAAGAAATTCGGTCCCGCTGTTGAAATCTCCATAACAATCCATTCGAACATTTAAAGTCACTGATTCCCAAATCTTCAGCAATTTTGAGTGCCTTTTCTTTCACAAGAGGTCCGCTCAATGGTAAATTTTCCGACCGCATATGAATGAACCATGCCAATAATCGCGATTCTATGTCGTCGTGGGTAGCTGTACGTAAACGTTTCGAACGACTGTTGGTACTTCCAGAAGCGATAGCTTCCTCTATCTTTTCTCTATTTTTCAGAATGGTAGACAAAGTAGATTTTGGAATTTGGAACTTCTCGGCTACGGCAGTTTTCGACAAGACACCGCGATCAACTTCAGTCAAAATTTCGTACTTAGTTTGCACGTCAAGAGAGGTCTGCTTTCGCTTAGACATCTTGAAGAACTGAAGAGTGTTCATCAGACATCAGTTTATATGCACACTTCTTAACAAAGCCAAATTGTAAAGAAGCCTTTGCTTTTGTTAATTAATTTTCAAAAGTTTACAACCTTTTCAATAGCTTTTGTAAGACGGAAAGAAAATTTAAGGTATTGTTTTTATTTTTAGGTACTCGAGTAAATAACGATTTCTTATATTTACGCGAACACTATACATTGATTAAAACTACTTTTACGGATTTTATCGCGTTTTATTTATATTAATTTTAATACCCGACGTTTCGGGTGCTTTCCAGCACCCATGGTCACGGGGGGGGGGAACCTCCTATAAACACTATACATTGATTAAAAGTAGTTTTAATCAATGTATAGTGTTCGCGTAAATATAAGAAATCATTATGTGAACCAGTACGGACTGGAAATAGCAAATAAAATACGCCGATTAGAAGATCTAATGACCAAGCGCGCAAGATACATAACAGCTTTAAATCTCTTGACGATTCAAGAGATTTAATCTTATGATCCTACGTGTGTCAAGATATCTACTAAAAAAGACATTCGAGGAAGCGCTAAGATCTTAAATCAGGCGAGTAAAAAGTTGTTTACCCCCGTGACCATGGGTGCCGGAAAGCACCCGAAACGTCGGGTATTAAAATTAATATAAATAAAACGCGATAAAATCCGTAAAAGTAGTTTTAATCATTACTCGAGTAAATGTTTGATATCCTAATCCTTTATCTATTTTTCGAAACTCGAGTTAATGACTTTTCTAATCTCTTCAGCCATTGTTTACCGGTATTTGTATTGACCGAAAAAGGACAAAAGTATACAAAATACATGATTTGGGAATTTTTATAGTTCGTATTATCCGATAATTAACCGTGAAGGGACGAAAAAGTTGTTCGAAGCTCGGATTAACTAGGGTTCGTCTTAACCGAACATAATTACATTGAAGCTTATGGAACTATTGTCTAGAGTAAATTTTTGTTCGCCTTAAACCAAAATTCGTGTTAACCGTGTTCGCATTAACGAGGGTTTACGTGGTAATGACTGAGTTATAATTAGGTACCTTCATTTAAAAATATATTGTCCCTATTGTGCCTTCATTTAAAAAATATATTGTCCTTGACCTGATCTATTATATTCTATGGATTGACCATAGGTCTGAATAAGTTGGTCCAATACACTGTCGAGGCCAGAAAGGTCAAATATGTGGATTATAATTATTTACATATAACGTCCGTGTTTGATAACTAAAAACGGCACATGACGTGCAATTATAAATCAAGTATGTAAAATCAATATCAGAGAATAATTCTCCCTAATTATAAAATTATACACCAAATAAATTTAATAAATCACTTCGTATTTTATCGTTAAATCCATTTAAAAAAAAAAACAAGGAAATAAGTACTTTACTATGTTTTACTTTTAAGGTTTATTAACTAAGGCTGAATTGCTATGAACTGTAGTTTTTGAACAAATTTAACACAAAATACCATAGAAAATCCGGCCCGAAGGACCACCATGATAAGGGTTTAGAAAATGCGCGAATTGAACTTCGTATAATAATAATTAGAATCTTAGTTGGAATTGCTGCTTTAATTTACCTACAGTGAGAGAAAAATTAGTCTGGCCCACCAGGAAGGGTAAATGAAGTTGGTAAATTCACGGGTAGCAGCAGTGGCTATCAGCTTCGACTTGTCTTCAACGATATCTTCGGATGTAAAATACTTCGTCCTTCCTTGACCAGTACGTGATTTTATAGTGTATGCACATAACTCGGTCAATCCGACACACTCACGAACGCTTAATTACATTAATTTTCTCTTGGAAGGTTTAGACAGGAACAGCCATTAGCAATGCAGTTCGTCTTGATTCTTATTTTCATGTGGGCATCGATCACGTCCCCTTCTTTGATAGACGCTTTTGTCAAAAAGATGGCGCCACAACTAGTTTTGCATATTATTGGAAGGAAGGATGCGATAGAAAAGTAAGGAAGGCAAGCCAGTACAGTCAGTATGGTGCCTCATACCATAGTACAAATAATTGGTGATGGAGCTTGCTGATTTAGAGCAATCTCAATCTCTTACCTGTTATATAGAAACAAAGAGTTGACTAAAATTCGATGGCAAATTGTGGATTACGTTATTGCGGTCATTTTATTATTGATTTACAATATGAAACACAAGTTGGATGGTAGGTCTGTCCATTACATCGTTTGTGGGCCCGTCTATTTGTCCGTTCGTTAGTTTGTCTGACTAATCATAACTAAATGTTATTATCCATATTAGTGTCCTTTTAGATCTTCGCAATAATTTAAAGTTCAAATAAATCATTGTAAATTTATCCTAAGAAAAGTACCAATTCCACGCGTACTACGTCGTGGACACAGCTAGTTAGCAATATATTTTCTTAGTATGCATAATAAAATAAATTTTGGTAGGCATTCCGTATTTTTATTAGAATTCTTCAAATATTTTTCCATTATTAAATGGTTACTTGTTACATGTGTACAGTAATGAAACATCCATAGACTAAAAAAATAGAATTTAATTTCACTCTCAATCACTAACGGCAAAGTTTTAAAGTAGGTACATCACAACATTTAGTTTCGTATAAATTACTTACTTAATCATATTTCGCTACTAATGAAAAGAAAAAAAAGAAACGAAAGTGTTAAATAAATTTATTTTAAAAAAAATACAAAACAAAAACTACGCTCATCTATGCCTTCAATCCCAACCTAATAAAATTACAAAATAAATAAAACAGCTGTGTTAACAAGTTTATTATAAATAAAATATGTGTGCGTAAAATTGCATGTTTTAATACATGTATAGCATATAGCAATAGCTGTTTGTGATAATTGACAACGAATGTTAAGAAAAATGCTTACGTCTTTGATAAAGCCAAAACTCACTTAGCGAAAATACAACCAAATTTCGAAAAATCTAACCATAATGTATATTACAAAATATTTCCACCTCTCTCACGTTAAAGACAAACCAATAATGCGGGAACATTTCTCATAATATACTATAATACATAATCAGTTTATAATAATTTATCTTATCTCAATAACCTAATTACTTTTTGACTTTTAAATCAGAATATATCTAATACTGAAAAAGTTACTTTGACTTTGCTCTAATAGACATCAAAAATATACCAACTCACACTCTTCAGATATGTTTAAAATTACCTCTAAAATGTATTAAAGTTTAATCATTAGACTACTACGGAACCAGTAGTTTTAGTATCTCATAAACTCGAAGTTGGCACAAATATACAACAAGAAACGCCACGGGAGTCCAAACTTTTTTAAATAAATAGTTCTTAAACACTAATCAAATCCTATTCAAACCAATTTGCTAAACAACAGTTTGGACTTCCGTGCTCAAAAGCACCTTAATATTTTTAAAAGACTAAATATAATTCAGTGTTCTTTCTACACCGTCTACTAAAAATATAGCTTCTCTTTTACATAATGTAAGAATACGTAGAGTATACGAGTATTAAAATATTTAAAACAAGAAACAAAGTTATATTATGCAGTTATGATAAAATATGTAACATTAGACTAGAACAGCTAAATTAAAATACAGAAACTCCATTAGGCAGTTTTTAAAAATATACAATCACTAGTGCCGGGACAAAGCAGATATTAAATAGTAACGAACAAATTAAAATCAAATCGCCTTTAAATCAAAATATTTAGTAAAACCATACCTGTAAGATCTAAATTTAGTCAACAGTACATAAAACTAACTAAAACTTTTTATAGAGCTTAGTGTTAGTGTTGCAACATAAACAAAATGTTTATATAAAAAAAAATTCTAAACCAAAGAGATTCAATAAAACATTGCAAACTTTCACTAATTAGCTACCAGGAAATCATAAAGCGATATCAATTTAGTGCAAGAGTCTCTTGCCCGGCACAAAGAAAAATCAACCTTAACACTAATACAAATAAATATCGGAATGTGACAAGAGTCACGTCCGTGTGCAACCAAGCGACGTCTTTATGCGTGTTCTATGTAAGTGTCGTTATCGAAATATCGCAGGGAGCCCGGCGGCGAGTGCTTCGCGTGTCGAGTCAATGAACCTGGAATGAACGACGCGAAAATTATTGCATGACAGAATATGGTTTGTTAATCCAATTCTTTTCTCCATTAATGAAAAAGTCGTTTAACTAAGCTTTTACTTCAGTTTAACGACTTATTTATTGAGATTGATATACACAAAGATTAACATAAACTCATAACCGTTTCTTACGTGGTAGAGCCATGCTGTAGTTATATTAGTAGTATAGTTGTAGCACGAATGGGTCGGCTCGACCGGGGAAGGACCACACTCTCACAGAATACCAGCGTGAAACAGTAGCTTAATGCTGCTGTGTTTCGTATGGCGAGTATAGAGAACCGGAGACCCTTTTTACTGGAAACGAGGCATTCCATCGTAGTCCTCACGGATGAAAACACATTTGCATTTAGATTCGTAATCGAGGATAGAGATGTCTATGGGCCACAGCAACCACTTACTATCAGGTGGACTGTGTGCTCGTGTCACCCAATCCTATAAAAAAGACGAAAGTAATTTCGTACGTTAAATACGAAAAAAATATATTTAATCAAGGAAAACGATGAATTTTACCAAACACATTATATTTTTTTATTTCGAATACGGGTGACAAACGAGCACACAGTCCACCTGATGTTATAGTAAGTGGATGCTGTGGCACATAGATATCTACATCCATGATTAATAATAAAAATGCTGAGGTTCTCTACACTCACCATTCGAAACACAACAGCGTATAACAACTTATTCACGCTGGTATCTATTATGTGCGATGTAAATACATATTGCCTTTGATCACACCATATGAGACAAAGTTTAAAAAAAAAGTTAGATTACAATTAATACGAGAATCACAATGAATATAGAGAAACGAGACAACATTAAAGGCGACATATTTTACAAGTAACACAGACGATTGACTAAAAAATGCCAGACATATCTCTAAGTCTAAGTAAGTAAGTGAGTGGTATAACCATCTCGTATGTACTAGGATATTTTTTATAGGATAGGGTGACAAACGAGCACACAGTCCACCTGATGGTAAGTGGTTGCTGTGGACCATAGACATTTACATCTATCCTCGATCCTCCAGATGCGTTGTCACCCGTGAGGACTAAGATGGAATGCCTCGTTTCCAGTAAAAAGGGTCTCCGATTCTCTACACTCACCATACGATACACAGCAGCATTAAGCTACTATTTAACTCTGGTTTTCTGTGAGATCGTGGTCCTTCCCCGGTCGAGCCGACCCATTCGTGCTACAACGACTACTACCAATATAACTGCCGCATGGCTCTACCACTTATAAAAAGGAAGGAAGGAAGGATATCTAATCCGATGACAGAAATCAACCTCAAAAGCAATAGGTACACGTGTGGTGAATATGGCAAGTTGTTCTCACAATAGGAGAAGCCAAAGTTCAATTATATCACAAAATGTTCTAGATATAGATGAAAACCTACGCCAATAATATTTTGTGCGCTTTAAAACTTAAACATTTTATTGCGTTCATGTGGTTACATAAATAGTTCTTAAGTTGGATATATTAGAGCCAAACATGGGCCTTGATAGGGCGTAGCAATATTATATTATATTATGTTATATATCAATTTATTCTATACAATTTAGAAAGACGAATTTTATTTTATTTACTTAAACAATAGATAGCCATTAATTATTTTATTAATAGAATTTCGAATGATAAAACGAGGTTAATCAGTGTCGGATAATTTTTACTCAAACTAGATGCCAACGACCCGACTGATGACATTAAACAGATGTTGTTTGTACACGCGTACACCAACGCAAAGACCGCAATAAAAATTGTCACACATAAAAATAGGTTTTAACATTTTTAAAAGTTCAATTTTCATTCTAGGATCGCCTCTTTCTATGATATCATTAGTTTGCCTAATCACCAATTAATGATATTCACACTGAACAATGTTTCTGAAATCTAGGAACTTACCATCAACCTTCGGATGGACTATTACGTTCGTTTGTCAGTTTATAAAACGGATCAGAAAACATCACAACAACAACAACAGCGTCATGTTATTGTGCACGAGTACATTATAGCAGAGAAACACGAGCGACTATTTACTGAAAACGAGGTGTTCCATCTCAGTCCTCAGGGGTAACGACGCATCTGCATTTTGATGTTTAATCGAGGATAGATGTCTATGGCCCACAGCACCCACTTACCATCAGGTGGACTGTGTGCTCGTTTGTCATCATTATTCTAATTAAAAGAAAAGCTAAACAATAATTATACGGCAGCAGCAGCTGCAGTCCGCCGCTGGTCAAATTCCCGCCAAAACTTCATGACAAACTTGGGGTATGTTCCAAAATAGAACCCAGTGTGCTGTCCAATGCAAATCACGTTATGAATCGTCGCTATACTGGTGATTCGTTCCAAAACATAGGACAATATATGACGTCATAAAATTACGCCATATTGAAAACGTATTGGCTATTATTTTGTCATTTTGTGCTCCAAAAATCATTATATCTTCCTAATGGAGATACCAGCAATTATTCTATAATTTTTTGTATTTGAATAAATAAAAACAAATTCTGGCATGCTTCATTCAACGGACACACCATTAACAATTGTTTTATTGTGGCCGGATATCCGACGCAATATAGCGGCGGCACGCCAATACAATATAGTGTCAATTGATGACGTCATTTGCATTTGCCAGTGTACTGGGTTGTACTTCAGAACATACGTGATTTTACGTGGTACGGGATTTTACGTGGTAGAGCCATGTTGCAGTTATATTAGTAGTATAGTTGTAGCACGAATGAGTCGGCTCGACCGGGGAAGGACCACGCTCTCACAGAATACCAGCGTAAAAAAGCAGCTTAATGCTGCTGTATTTCGTATGGCGAGTGCAGAGAACCGGAGACCCTTTTTTACTGGAAACGAGGCATTCCATCGTAGTCCTCACGGATGACAACACATTTGCATTTAGATTCGTAATCGAGGATAGATGTAGATGTGTATGGGCCACAGCAACCACTTACCATCAGGTGGACTGTGTGCTCGTGTCACCCAATCCTATAAAAAAGACGAAAGTAATTTCGTACGTTAAATACGAAAAAAATATATTTAATCAAGGAAAACGATGAATTTTACCAAACACATTATATTTTTTTATTTCGAATACGGGTGACAAACGAGCACACAGTCCACCTGATGTTATAGTAAGTGGATGCTGTGGCACATAGATATCTACATCTATGATTAATAATAAAATACTGAGGTTCTCTACACTCACCATTCGAAACACAACAGCGTATAACAACTTATTCACGCTGGTATCTATTATGTGCGATGTAAATACATATTGCCTTTGATCACACCATATCAGACAAAGTTTAAAAAAAAACGTTAGATTACAATTAATACGAGAATCACAATGAATATAGAGAAACGAGACAACATTAAAGGCGACATATTATACAAGTAACAAAGATCAAGATTGACTATGAAAATGCCAGACATATCTCTAAGTCTAAGTAAGTAAGTGAGTGGTATAACCATCTCGTATGTACTAGGATATTTTTTATAGGATAGGGTGACAAACGAGCACACAGTCCACCTGATGGTAAGTGGTTGCTGTGGACCATAGACATCTACATCTATCCTCGATCCTCCAGATGCGTTGTCACCCGTAAGGACTAAGATGGAATGCCTCGTTTCCAGTAAAAAGGGTCTCCGATTCTCTACACTCACCATACGAAACACAGCAGCATTAAGCTACTATTTAACGCTGGTTTTCAGTGAGAGCGTGGTCCTTCCCCGGTCGAGCCTACCCATTCGTGCTACAACGACACTACTACCAATATAACTGCCGCATGGCTCTACCACGTATAAAAAGGAAGGAAGGAAGGATATCTAATCCGATGACAGAAATCAACCTCAAAAGCAATAGGTACACGTGTGGTGAATATGGCAAGTTGTTCTCACAATAGGAGAAGCCAAAGTTCGATTATATCACAAAATGTTCTAGATATAGATGAAAACCTACGCCAATAATATTTTGTGCGCTTTAAAACTTAAAAACATTTTATTGCGTTCATGTGGTTACATAAATTGTTCTTAAGTTGGATATATTAGAGCCAAACATGGGCCCTGATAGGGCGTAGCAATATTATATTATATTATGTTATATATCAATTTATTCTAATCAATTTAGAAAGACGAATTTTATTTTATTTACTTTTTAGATAGCCATTAATTATTTTATTAATAGAATTTCGAATGATAAAACAAGGTTAATCAGTGTCGGATAATTTTTACTCAAACTAGATGCCAACGACCCGACTGATGACATTAAACAGATGTTGTTTGTACACGCGTACACCAACGCAAAGACCGCAATAAAAATTGTCACACATAAAAATAGCTTTTAACATTTTCAAAAGTTCAATTTTCATTCTAGGATCGCCTCTTTCTATGATATCATTAGTTTGCCTAATCACCAATTAATGATATTCACACTGAACAATGTTTCTGAAATCTAGGAACTTACCATCAACCTTCGGATGGACTATTACGTTCGTTTGTCAGTTTATAAAACGGATCAGAAAACATCAAAACAACAACAACAGCGTCATATTATTGTGCACGAGTACATTATAGCAGAGAAACACGAGCGACTATTTACTGAAAACGAGGTGTTCCATCTCAGTCCTCAGGGATGACGACGCATCTGCATTTTGATGTTTAATCGAGGATAGATGTCTATGGCCCACAGCACCCACTTACCATCAGGTGGACTGTGTGCTATTAGTTTAAGTAATATAACGTTTCAACATGAATCATAGTTTAATACTACAAACATTATTCTAAATTAGTTACCTTAAAATGGAGGAAAAGCTACACACAATGCACCACGACTAATTATACGGCAGCAGCAGCTGCAGTCCGCCGCTGGTCAAATTCCCGCCAAAACTTCATGACAAACTTGGGGTATGTTCCAAAATAGAACCCTGTGTGCTGTCCAATGCAAATCACGTTATGAATCGTCTCTATAATGGTGATTCGTTCCAAAACATAGGACAATATATGACGTCATACAATTACGCCATATTGGAAACGTATTGGCTATTATTTTGTCATTTTGTGCTCCAAAAATCATTATATCTTCCTAATGGAGATACCAGCAATTATTCTATAATTTTTTGTATTTGAATAAATAAAAACAAATTCTGGCATGCTTCATTCAACGGACACACCATTAACAATTGTTTTATTGTGGCCGGATATCCGACGCAATATAGCGGCGGCACGCCAATACAATATAGTGTCAATTGATGACGTCATTTGCATTTGCCAGTGTACTGGGTTGTACTTCAGAACTACGTTTTAGCCAAAAAAAAATGTATTTCAAGAACATGCTCCCTATCCTATATAAAAAATACCCTTGACTTGTTTCTTTTTGTGACACTGACCTCCTGGGGGTTCGTCTGAGGGTCCGGCTGGAGGTCCGACTGGGCGGGCGGATGGCGCGGCACGCGCGGCTGGCGCGGCGGCGCGGGCTCCACGCTGAGCAGGCGCGGCTTGTCGTCGCGTTCGTCGCCGTCGCCGCCGCCGCCCCCGCTGCCCCCCACCGACATCTCCGCCAGCGCCGCCAGCACACTCTCCATGTTTATCGCCGGCGCGCTGTCGCCTTCACCCTGTACCACCGCATCACGAATATTTAATACCGCCTGTTACCTGCCCACTTCCTCCATCACTACAGCCTATTTCTATGTATAAGTCTATGAAGCAATCTATGGGGAAGGTCTACATCCAGATGTCGGCTTCTGATAGCCAGTACAATAATAATAATGTCCTCCAGACCGAATTTCGGTCACGGCGGCCTGCCTCAACAGAGACTAGCCAACGGCGCAGGACAGGATTATAGTGCCCAAATTTACGTACTTTCCGAGGCACGGGGGTGATACACCGCCAACTTCCTGACTCCGGGCAGCTACTGAGAATTTCTTGACGGAAAAACTGAATAATTGATTTTTTGGCCCAATCCGGGATTCGAAACCAGGACCTCATGATCAGGAGTCGCACTACTACAACCGCCAGACCAAGGAGGCAGGCAAGTATATATAATATACGAATATTCGATGCAACGAAATTCTAATCAAGCATGAGGCGCCTTGGTTGCAGACTTGCAGTCCAAAAGAGATCTCGAAACCCCTAGATGGTGATGGTGACCATCATGGGGTTTCAACCGGGAGTCCAACGTAACTTTTCCGTCCCAATACAACAAAATATTTTAACTCCAACTTCAAATGAGATGTAATTCAACGAATCTTACTCGAGTGGACAACATTGCGGAGTTTTCTATACATCTCTTCACATTTATCTCAAAACTTAAAAACAAACGTGTACAACCAGAGAATGTTGCCAGTGGTGACATATAAGAGAATCTGAGACATGATCCTTCCCATAGTATGAAATTCAAAACCGCTCAGCCAATTTATGGAGAAGACTACGCCCAGAGTTTCTCTGCATAATACACTTATATAAGAAATATATAAATTAGAATACCCGTATTAAGAATAGAGTAATCGAAATAGCGCAGCAGATCTGTAAGCTGACGTGCCAATGGACCAGCCATATAGCTAGAAGAACTGGCAACTTCAAGCTGGTAAGCAAAATGTAGGGCTACGTCCCCACTGTATGAAGTGACGATTAATAAAAAATATAAAACATAAATGCAAGAAGTACACAGATGCTCTTCTATATATGATATACTTCTATATATACTATAAACTTATTATTTATAATATATATTTCGTATATATTATATACTTCTTTTTAAGTGGCGATTTACCACGTGCTCGGCGGTGAAGGAAAACATCATGAGGAAACCTGCATATCTGAGGAATTAAAAAAAAAATAGAAGACACGTGAAGTTCGCCAACACGCATTGGGACAGCGCGGCGGAGACTTCCTTGCCCTAAAACCCTCTCAGAAATGAGAGGGTTTTAGGGCAAGGAAACTTTAACTTTTTTATATTATATACTTCTCAATATATATTACATACTTCTTATAAATTATATATTTCTATATACCTTATATACTTCTTATATATAATACAGTTCTATATATTATATATTGCTATATGTTATAAACTTATATATATTATATACTTAGGGCTTAGGACCGTGCTATATGATATTCCTTGGGGGAGGGTCTACGTTCAGCAGTGGATACGGCGTGGGCTGATGATGAATATATTGTTGATTTTTTGTTTTTATGTGATCGCATTCTAGTCAAATGTTTTTATTATTTTTGAGCATGTCTTGTATGAACATTTCGATTTCAAAATCTTAAAATATAAAAACTTACGAGCTTACCTTTTGTGGTCCCGGTTTAAAGAAATGCAGAAAGCAAAAACCACGGAAACCCTGAAAATAATAAAACTATTTAAGGCTTCAAGTTTTAATGTACTAACTGGACTCTCAAACACAATAAATAGAAATAGTGTAATTTAAAAAAATACTTTTCATATGCATAGTTTAAGAAGCGGAATTTATTCAAATCTATCGGTTTAACAAACAGTTGCCTTGTGGTGGTGGCGTAGAGAAACCACGACTTCAGCTCTAACCTGTGATCTGTCGTAAGACAATAAAAGTACACAAAAACCTCATGGTTATTGATATATGGCGGAATAACCATTCCCATTTACGCCAGATTTAAAATACTCAGACCGGCGACGGCGTGAAGCTTTAAAGATGCGAGACATCTTGAACTTCGATCGTCAATCCGCTTACGAAGGGTGACCATTAAGGCAAATCTTACCAGTAGATGCTATCTCCATCAAAAGGCCTATTAGAGATAGTGAAGAACATGAAGGCTCGCATGAGTGCGTCCTAATTTATCTCAAAATAGTTTGAAACCTTCAATTATTTCATTGTCATATACTTTAAATCTATATCTATAGTAGCTGTTCCCCGCGACTTCGCCCGCGTGTAATTTAGGGTTCATTTTTTTAGCGCGGAATCCAAATACTATTCTAAAAATCTTAGCAGTCAGCCACCGTAGAGTCACCTGAGGCGTCGTGTATGCCTCGTGTAGAGGCGAAACACGTGTTGTATTATCGTCGATGGTGTGTCTTTCCTGGAGTGGTGGGAGTGGTGCTGGGATTGGTGGTGACGGGATTAGTGCACGCAATTGAGGGAGGGCGGGAGGTGCTCTTCAAACTAGGTAAGACACATCATTTTATTTTATTGAGTGGATGGTTGCAAAGTAACTCTTAACATCTTTAGTATAACGGATTTCCGCAAAGTAACGCCTGATTCTATTAATTAACCAAATTCTATTTTTTTAAATAAAAGTAGCCTAAGTTTCTCCTTACAACATCAGCTCTTTGGGTCCCACCAAAATCGGTCCGGCCATTTCGGTGATTAGCCGCGATTAAACTCGCCGCTGGGTGAACGAGCGAGTTTAGTTCAGTGAACAAGTTGACAGGACGCAACGTGGTCGCGTCCAACCCTCAAAATATAAAATTGTAATTTTTTAACTTTGAACGTTGCTGCCAACTTAACCGTTTACTGCCAACTGCCCTGTAACTAAACTCGCTAGTGTACTTGTCGAAGTGTCGAGTGTAAATCAAATGAAAACCCTAACATTATAACAGTGTTACTGCAGTCTGGAGGTGGGCAGTGTATCATTTTTGCGATTGGAACATTTGCATCTCGAACACTGATATGTTTCATTTGGATCATCGACACAAAAGATATAAAATACAGAATGTTACGAATACATTAAGTTGCGTCGCGGGCGTTTATTACTGACTGATTCAGTGAAATATTATGTGGCAACAATGCTGAACGATATAAATGCTTAGGTTAATTTTATTATATAATATATAATTATTTTATTGTTATTTATTGTGTACCCAAATAAGGTTGTATATAAAATCGATGCTCCCTCATATCCAGGCTTAGGACTGGAGGCTAGTCCTAATTTATGACCAGCTGGCGTATTATTTATGATGATAAGGAAGAAAGTAAGTCACAATAATCATTACGCAAAGAAATCCTAAACAGAACTCAGTATGTTTTCATAAACAGGCGCGAACGAACATAAACAATTTGACAAGTGCCGGATCAACGTAAAATAACATGTTAATGCAAACATTATAATATGCAAAAAAATAACCGCATTGTATTTGCTACGTAAGCGCCTTAGTGGTCATTTTTACGTGTATGAATAACTAATAACTATAGCGACAATCCGTACGAGTTGAGTGATACACTTCTCATTTGTTATCTCTTTCTGACTTGTATAGATTGCAATTATTTCGCTTGTTCACTCGCCACTCTCTCGCTCGTAGCTCAGTCGCCTAGCGAGCGACGCGTCGCGTGAAATGAGCACAGACCAAGGTAATGTTTCAGATTCAAATGATGCATTTGAAACGTTTTCACTGAACCAATCTTTTGAATTACTTCAGTGATTCGGATCAGTAAGTCGGTTCCATAAAGAGTTACACACGCCTACAGTCACGGGTGTACACCTTTTCGGTGCAAGCAACGTATGATATCTCTGTCGTCATCTCCAGTATATTATAAACTAAAAACTATAAAAATCAAGTAGTTACCTTCCAAACCATGACCTGTGGTTTGACGCCGCGTTCAGACAATGCTTGTTTAAGATCGCGCACGCGTGTGTTGGGGCTGATGTTCGATATCTAGGAGCAAGCATGACAATTAAGTTATACAACTTATTCAAAAGTATTACAGCTATATTAAATAAACACTTGTGTGATGTTCAGCTTAGTTCGTGCTTTTAAAGCTTTATAACGTGGTAGAGCCATGCCAACCGACATGCTCGACCTGGTAGGACCTGGTAGGTAGGACGCTCTCACAGAATACCAGCGTTAAATAGCAGTTTAATGCTGCTGTGTTTCGTATGGTGAGTATAGAGAACCGGAGACCCTTTTTACTGAAAACGAGGCATTCCATTTTAGTTCTCAAGGGTGACAACGCATCTGCATTTTGGTTCTTAAGCGAGAATAAATGTAGATGTCTATGGGTCACAGAATCTACTTACCATCAGGTGGACAAGAATACAATAATACATAAAATCTACTCGAGTGTTGCAAGCCATTGCTAGTGGAAATAATTTGACATGCCAAACTTAATGTATCCAAAATCCAAATGGTGATTGTGCAACATCTAAGGTGCCCACTGTTTCTTACCTGATAAACATGAGCTGCTGCTGAGAAATAAAAAGTAATTGAAATCTCTCATGTCAAAGAGCAATAAAAACTTCTTTATATTTTTAATAATTTATAAATATTAAAACCAATCGATTTAGTTTTGCGACACTCACATAATCATCTAATATCAACAAAACATTAAAGATATTTTAAAGTTGTTAAGAATTACTTCGCCCACACCCGATCAATAAAATAAAATGACATGTCTTACCTAGTTTCAAGAGCACCTCCCGCTCTCCCTCAATTGCCTGCACTTAAGAGTGCATTAAAGATGTTTAAAACTATAGATAGGTTATCTTTCTAGGTAACCTATGCAATGTCCACTAAAAAATTTTCTAGCTCAACTCACTGTCACACACCAAAAAAAACGCAGACCAAGCATACACATGTACAAAGCTCCACTCTAAGCTGCTAAGGCGAAGAAAAAAACTAAATAACATCGATGTCAACAGCACGTTATTCATACAAGAACAAAACCGAGGCGGTACCTTTCTGAAGAAGAAAAAAGACGGACAGAGCAGCGTCAAAGGTACACCATCTTACAAGATGTCTAGCAATAGATCGTCGATCCGCCTACTTAGCGTGACGGTAGGGGTCCACATACAGCTGTGGACTTTACGAGTGATGAATTAAAGAATCATATCAATCATAACAGCTTTTTTGGATTTTTACAAACACTGTATACAAACTTTCCAAAAATTCATCAAGTAAAAGCTATGAATGTAAAAGCACAATTATGTGTTTTTTACCTTTACAGAAAAATCAATAACCGGACGCGGACGTTTAGGGCGACGCGGTTTTTCTTCTTTCACGTCCTTCTCCTTGCCCTCCTTGGACTTGGTGCTGTTACGCCTCCTCCCACGTCGCGGCTTACCACCTTTGCCCTCCTCACCCTCGGTGGTGTTACCCTGAGGGAAAATTAGGAAATGTCTTTTATTTGCTTTCAGATAATCGCTTTACCTGTTCATATTCTATACTTTTTTTCGTGGTAGAGTCATGCTGCAGTTATATTAATAGTACAGTTGTAGCACGAATAGGTCGGCTCGACCGGGGAAGGACCACGCTCTCACAAAATACCAGTGTCAAATAGTAGCTTAATGCTACTGTGTTTCGTATGGCGAGTGTAGAGAATCGGAGACCCTTTTTACTGAGGCATTCCGTCTAAGTCCTCACGGATGACAACATATCTGCATTTTGATTCGTAATCGAGGATAGATGTAGATGTCTATGGGTCACAGCAACCACTTACCATCAGGTAGACTGTGTGCTCGTTTGTCACCCTATCCTATATAAAAAAATATAACGTTATAAAGTTAACCTTAATATATTCAATAGGTTTATTTATATTTTGCAAGATGTCAGGTGACATTAGGAAGGAAAATTAAGCAGACAATGAAAAAAAAAATCATTATATATCAGTACTATGAAAAGAAACAACAATATATTATGCAGTTAAGTTTTTGTTACTTTAACATAAGTAAATAAGTTATGATAGCGATATAATCAAAGAGATTCGTTTCCCATTCAAACGATCATTTATTTTAATTAGGATGATTGCTGTGTTCGTAAGTTTTTTTAGGTTAAAAAACATCATTATCTCGTATCTTCTCCCTTTTTATCAGTCTGTCTACAGTCCACTGCCGCACATTGATTTCTTTCCTAAGGAAGGATCAGTATATGTATTTGTTTATATTAAAAATATTAGTAAGCTTAAAATTCTGGTCAGTTGACGACGGTACACGAATGGCTGAGTCGTACTCAGAATTTTCAAATCCGCCGTCCATACCTTAACCACAGTATAATTGGATTTATATACTGTGCCTTAACCAACAGTGCGATTGTGTAACCTTTGTATGGATCGTGGCTGAAATAGTTTTGATGTTTGACATTTGATTTCTTTTATTGTTAATGTATCAGTGTCGATTATAAGTAGACTTTTAATATTAGGTCTTTACCTGTGAAATTGCCGTTTTTTATTTCCTTTGACTATGTAATTAAATAATGCCTGGTACATGGCACTAGCACCATCTAGTATCGAGTAGCAGAACTAATCCTTCTAGAGAATTCCATACTAGAACTTTTTACACCTAGTCAGTCGGGACCGGTATGTACTTGAACATTCTAGATGTTTCAGTAGAAGAGGGCCTATATAATGCCAGTAAATACCGCGAATTTTGGTAATTCAATCGACAGTTTTTACTGTCACGAAACTCAAGCTCATAACAGTTTATAAAAGAAATTACTATAAAATACTAACCTCTCCTTCGCTCTGGCTCTTGTGCGAGCGAGTGCGTCTTCTGGGACGTCTCGGACGGTTGGCCGTGCGTTCCTCTACATCTGTGTCCACTTCCTTCAAAGTACAAGCTCGACCAGCGCTATATAAACAAAGAAAAGTGTATTCACTCTATTCTTCTTCTTCTTTTTCTTATCAGTTCGCGAAATCCACTGTTGGACATGAGACTTCTACAATGTGGAGTATTTGCCTTAATTGTCACGTTTGGCAGGCTACAGTACCAGACGTATAGCACCTTTGATGTTGCCGCCCGTTGCCGATCTGAGTAATTTACTTTGGCGCAAACGAGATGGTATGCCGCCATCTATCGGAAGCTATTACATCTTTGTCACCTCCCATAGTCTCCTCTTTGGCTTTCATAGGAAGAAATAACGATTCCGTGGCACAGTGGCTTACCATTGAGTTGCGCCGCGGAGCTGTTCGAAACCCACATGGTACAAGTACTTTTTTGGCCTATAAATAATTGTTCCGATGTTTGTTCTTATGTAATTTATGTACATATAAAATGCCTCCACGATCAGGTGAAAATTTTATTGTTTTTTTTTATAAAGGTGACAAACGAGCACACAGTCCACCTGACGGCAAGTGAATACTACGGGCCATAAGCATCTACGTTTATCCTCGATTATGACTCGAATTGCACATGAGGACACGCCTGATGACTAAGATGGAATACCTCGTTTTCAGTAAAAAGGGTCTCCGGATCTCTACACTCATCATACGAAACACAGCAGCATTAATCTGCTATTTTACGCCAGCATTCTGTAAGACCATGGTCCCACCCCGATCGAGCCTCTAATCCAGCGGAAATATAGCTACAGCGTGGTTCTACTACAAACAATGTGAGGTTAACGTTTTTTTTTTAAATGGGATGTTGGATTCTCTTAAGCCGCCTTTACCTTAGTCTTCAGAGGTGAAACCGAATCTGTTGCCTTTTATAAGTTCGTTGCAGGTGTCGTCTCTTTGTTCTGAAGTAGTTATTAACCACTACTAATATTTTGATTGTAACTTGAATATTAAAAAACATACAAAAACGCATTTCGTATTAAGCATCAAGATTCTAGGACGTAACTTATTTCTCCATTGCATTTATTGGTCTGAAAGGCATTCGGACCCTCGAAACCCGTAATACTGTCGATAATCAAGAATATGGTCTGAAGGAGAAGATGATGATAAGCCAATAAATAAACGAATTCAATACAAACAGTATCCTCATTCTAACATCACAGATTTGGCGTTTTCTAAAGAGCCTCTCAAACCCTCTTCAAATATCAAAGTATGATATAGTGTCTTGTCGAGAGAAATTGTATGTCAAATTAACTTACAGCATTTCGACTTCACGCAGTTGGCCGAGTATAGGCATTAGCTGTATGCGACGGTTGGACAGTAGATGCCACAGGATGCCCCCCGGTCTCTGACTCATACGCTGCGTCTCTATCACCTGAACAATAACATGTAAATCTGTAACTTTCATTTTGACTAGGCCAGTACAATATTTAACTCTTTGTTTCTCGTATTCACCAATAGATGGCGTTTGTAACTTGTGTCAAAAATGATTAGATATATCATTTTAAAATTGATTAAAATTATTATATACTCCTAGTGTGTGTGTGTGTGTGTGCCCTACACAAACACAAAATAAGCCGTAGTAGCTCAGGGGCCAAGCACCCACTGTAAATATCACAGTACGCTAGCTGCTCGAGTTCGATCCCCGCCGGCACCAATGAAAATTTTTATTGCAGTTTAAGTGCTGATTTAGCACGTGCTCGGCGGTGAAGGAAAACATCGCGAGGAAACCTGCATTTCTAATAAATAAGAAAAAAAAATATTTCGAACACATGTGAAGTTTGCCAACACGCATTGGAGCAGCATGGCGGACATTTCCTTGTCCTAAAAACCCTCTCAGAAATATGAGGAATCCTATGCCCAGCAGTAGGACGTATATAGGCTGTAATTTTAACTTATTTTTTACACAAATGCAAATATTTTAGAGCTTATATCAATGTTCTAACGTCTACATTACCTGTGTTGGCGTGACAATAAGATCAACAGGAACGTCGTGAGGGCCAAATAATTCCGCTGGCAGCGTATCGAACACCTACAAACAGAAGTAAATATATATTATATTAGTCTTTCAAAAATATTTACAAAAATATTTAACATCCAATATGATGCAGTTATATTTCAAACCTAATTTAAAATATCTCGTTTTTATAAAATAAGATGAATAAGAATAAAATGATCGTAAATGGATACTGTGGCCCAAAGATATAATATATCATAGACTAATAGTCTATGATTTATTATGTAATTACAATCCAAAATGCAGTGCAGATTAACCCTGAAAACTAAGATGGAATGTTTCGTTACCAGTTAAAAAGGAACACCCCGCGTGTATATTAATGTTTAATTATTAAAAGATTAATTCAATGTTTGGCCACAAACAGAAAATATAAAAATCTGAGCTGTTCACCAGGCAGTGACGATCTTTGAATAAGACGTTACACATATATAACAACAATTTGTCGTCACCATCCTGTCGTGACATTCAATCAAAAGATTTTTAAAGACATATTTTGTAATGTACTGTAAACACAAGATGGGATGATGAATCAAGGTGGTATATAAAATAGTTGACAGAAATAAACTCAACGTTTACCTGACAATCGTGGACGGTGGTTGCGACCAGTGTGGTTGGCTTGATGGCCTTCATGTGCATCATAAGACCAAACTCCAAGTCGCCATAACCTAGTTCATCCACATTTTATTTTTTAATTCAAGAGACACCTACTATTTACATAGTCACTATTCATAAATCACGATGATCATTGCGTTCCTATATGGTTGATTTCAGATTATTATCTAAATAATTATTATCAAATTTGGTGTTATTTTATATAGATAGTATGTGGCCGTGAACGAAAAGGGGAGATCTCTCGCCGGGCAAGGTTCCGCCCGGAGAGCGGTCAACGTTCTGTGTGATTGTTCGGAACTATTCTATATATAGTATACACTGTTCTTACTTCGGAACTTTCATAGCGCGATTTAGGCTTCGATTTGTTTTTCGCTTGTGGCGCGACGACAGCGCCGCCACAAGTATATTTTACAACCCGTGTGGTATCGTCCCGTGAGTGTCGCAAGAGCCGACAGAGGGAAATAACACAGGAGATAGGCAGCAGCGACTTCCTAATAACATTTGGACCATCAAATATTATAATAATACATACATAATAGAACGAGGTAGTGGGCGGAGCCCGTGTAGCCACTAAAATGTCACTAACATGTAACATGTCAATTCACACGTATAAATGTCAACACGAGACGTGTTTTGACGTTACAATCGTTTCCAAATGTTTAAATTTACTCAGTCTGTCAACACAGCGAATCGGGTTTGTAGTAGTGATAATATGACGTAATTACTTGTATGTGTGCTCCTGGCGAAGCCGATCCTCGTACGAAATAAGGTTCACAGCCATTCTATTGTGTATTATAGTATTCTATGACTTGGACAATTTAAAACTGTGATTGCCAACACGCCTGCCAAGCGAGGTGACTATGGCGAATATATATCCTAATAGGCTATCTGTGGGGAAAGTCTATGTTCAGCAGTGGACCTTTTGATAGGCTGTAATGATGATGATGACGTCATTTTACAACTGGATAAAAAACGACAATGTTACTCTACTATCACTATCATCTACGCAAAAATAAGAAATTCCCGCACTTCAACCTTTCCATTCTTCGACAAATACTTTGAGTTTTAAGTAAATAATACACAGAAATGGATATGATTTCGTTTAAATGCTATGTAGTGAAGCAAACGGCTCTGGAGCGCAATAGTGACTGAAAATTCAGTGTGACAGTGCTCTCAACTTCCTACTAAGTGTAATACTACGGGCTAATTTTTATATCGCCCACACATGAAAAGATCTCTATTAAACAGTAAATTCAAATAACTTAAAGGAAGAAATCAACTGTTCAACTGGACACAATGTTAACCATCTATGTCGCAAACGAAGGCAATTTACATAACTTAACCTATCATAGCTAATTAAATGCTTGTTAATGTGAGAGAAAGCACCAGATGTAGTTTCAGAGGCATAATTATGTCCAGATAGGTATAATAACACTGATTTTGGTTATTTACAAATTGTCTTCCGGAGTCGAAATATTAGTAATCAGGTTTGTACTAAGCCTTGAACGCATGGATGACTTCTCAAACTGATTTACTTGTTTTATAAAATAATCTAATAATATAAGAAAGAGATCATCGAAAAATATTAAATATCAGATGTATATGAAATCTTACCTCTTCCTTTGCCAATGCGGTAGCCCTCCTTGGAAACTGCCACAGAACCCATAACAACTAGGTCTAAAGAGACTGTGTCTTCAATACCTATAAACGATATTTTTTTATTAATGATAATTTTAAAAATTTCGAGTAATAGAAAGTAATTTTTATAGACTATTCCAATTCAATTTTCTACGAATGTTAGCGATGTTTAGCTGAACTTATAAAGGTTTTTTTGCCTTAGTCGTCACGCTTAGTTTCCTTTCACGCGAGCAGGTTCTTCGCCGGTCGGTGAGCACATAGTCCACCTGATGGTAAGTCAGTACTGCGGCCTATAGACATCTACATATAATTTCGATTAAGAAAAAAATACAGATGCGTTGTCACCCTTGAGGACTAAGATGGAATACCTCGTTTCCAGTAATAAGGGTCATTGGTTCTCAACACTAAAACCATACGAAACACAGCAGATTTAAGCTGCTATTTTATGCTGGTATATATATATATATATATATATATATATATATATATATATATATATATATATATATATATATATAGTGTAAACATTTTTATCCTTGAAACCAGTGGTTTGGTTTCACTTATAGAACGTAAATTCAATGAATTTAAAAAATAAACGCTATTTTCTTAAACGCTATTCATAAAATTTAAAGTTACACCGTCCGTAAATTCATGGATACCCCTTGCGCCCGAGTGACGTAATCACTGTGAAGATAACCGCGCGCTAGCTACCTACACTACTCATAAATTCCAATAAAATCACAATACGTACACATAACCTGTGATGTAACTTTTCCTTCATACTTTCATCCTGGCTTAGGACAGGCAAAAATTGAGGAATTAAGGAAAAATTGAGATTTTACTAAAAAATGTTGTTATTTTTCATTGAATTTACGTTCTATAAGTGAAAACAAACCACTGGTTTCAAGGATAACGGTGTTTACACTAACACCCTGTATTGGCGTTATTCCGTTTATCCACCGTAGAAAATCCACCCTAGTGTGGATACTCGGAAACGCGTTTTCATCTATCCATCCCAGACGGGTTGGTTAATCGGAATTCACTTTAATTTGTTCATCCGACTTTTTACAGTTCAACACATACTCTAATTATTAATTAATTTTTAATAACCAAAAAGTGTGATTTGTAATTTTACTGTAGTGGTTTGCGAAAAGCATTAGATATTTCTTCACCTATGGGTTGTCCATAAGTTTCCATGCCGTTACGTGACACGGCTTTCCTTATTGCTGCAGGACCAGTCTCGCCTTCAGGCAATACGAGTCGGTTCAGGAAGCCGTTCTGTAGACGGGGTACTGGTACATACAGTGTCTTGTGCTGTTCCAAACAAATCGCCCTGGGAACAAGAACAGTAGAATAAAAGTAACAATTACAGTGTTGTAATATTTTTTTGTTTATAGCAAAATCTCGTACAGCCTCTTGCTGGTAAGAGAAACGTAGGGCGGTCCTCCACTCGATGGGAGTGACGACTTGGTAAGAGATGCAGGAAGTCGATGGATGCAGGTAGCTTACGACCGTGCTTTGTGGCATTCCTTGAAGAAGCCTATGTTTAGCAGTGGAAGTGTGATGGGCTATATGTGATGTTGATCTCATTTTTCTCTTCGTTGCAGTAAAAGTAAAGTTAAAGTTAGAGCCTATATACGTCCCACTGCTGAGCACAGGCTTCCCCTCATTTCTGAGTGGATTTTAGGGCAAGGAAGCGTCCGCCGCGCAGACCCAATGCGTGTTGGCGAACTTTACATGTCTTCGAAATATTTTTTTCTTATTTCTTAGAAATGCAGGTTTCCTCGCAATGTTTTCCTTCACCGCCGAGCACGTGGTAAATCAACACTTAAAATTGCAATTAACAATTTCATTAGCGCCGGCGGGGATCGAACCCGGGTTACTTACTCGCGTGCTCCCAGTTATGCAGGGCCCAGGGTAAATGATAATTCAATGGTAAATAATGGCACTTTCAGATAAAAAAATATACGTGACAGTGCTACAACTGCAGCTATATTACCTAGCTATAGGCCCTTTTTAGTAGAAAAATGCATTCCAAGTTAGTCCTCAAGGGTGACAAGGCATCTGCATTTTTATTCTTAATCTAGGATAAATTTAGATATTTACGGGTCACACCATCCACTTACCATCATGTGGACTGCGTGCTTTGCCACCCTTATTCTATAAAAAAGATGAAATTTTTGTGAATGCTAATTCATACCGATAAAGATTATACGTGACGTGTACAAAGAATTCATTATATTACAAAGTTCAGACACAGTAATAGTCGGTAGACGTCACCACCAACGTATTGGCTTTTCCAAATGAGGATTTGACCTTTACTACATCTCTACAAGTTAGACAGTGCAAGGAAAACGCTTGTAACACCATATAGAACTGCCTGAAGGTTATCTTTGTGTCCAAATGTGTGACGGTTTGAACTAATTTACAATTCTGAATGCTCATTTCTCTTGCTAAATAAAACAGAGTGCCGAAATCACACATTACGGATTAATTTTAAAGTTATGCTTAGATCAAAGCTGACAATATTGATTTGCATTAGGATCAGACTCTTGTTACTCGCGGACACTTTTTTCGAATTCCCTTGCCTTTTACTTGACCGGCAACCAAAAGGCGCGTCGACGTCGGGCTTCGTATGCTGATTAAATTCAATGATTACTTAGATATTTGCATAGATTATCGACGAAATATAATCACGACAAATGTTTAAATACTATAAAAATGTGGATGCAACATCATCTTTCATAAAATAAAGATAAGTAAGTCGGTAAATCGCCCTTTCAGATAAAAAACTACAAATTATGTAAATGCTAATTCATATCGATTAAGATTAGAAAGTAATAAAAAATCCATTAAATTACAAATAAGTTCCGACAGTAATCTATACTTGATCTACAGTTTAATTACTCGAGCTTTAAAAAGCTACTTAAAAAGGTTCTGCATTCATACCTGTTAACTGGATGCAGAATAAGAGAAATATATATATTTTTTAAATTGTGTTTCGAAACTCAATCAGAATCAACAGTTACGAAAAACCGTTTTCGGAATTGAATATCACTTCTACAAAATTTACAATTTATTAAGTATGTACATGGTAAGCATGATTGAGAATAAACGAGAAGTCTCTATATTTTTGCATACATATATAGCACGAAACTTATTACATGAACAATTCACAGCTTCAGATAATGTTGGGACCAAAATCGACCAGTTAAAAGCAATACATGATTTAAAGTTTCAACAGCCCCAGGCTAACTACGAATATGGGCTCTCCACCGGCCTGTTGTGCCGATGTCTGCCCAGCCCACTAACTAATATATTTACTACTCTTTTAAATATTTACTTTCTTTCTAACAGCAAGTGTCGACCATGGCCCGTGAATAACTACAACCTGGGAAATTGCAGGTGCCTAGCCAGCCTTGTTAAAAGTTGTGGGCTAATTTCTTGAAGGACTCTAAGTCGTATCGGTCCGGAAAAATCGCCAGTGGTCGATGATTCCACAAAGATATATAGTGAAGAAGAAAACTGATAATAAATCCAACAGTCGTGGTAGACCTCAAAGCAACCAGATGGTGCGGATGGTAGATACCTCAGCTGGAATTAATTCCATTGCTGATTTTTTCAATTTTATTCTAGAATTCTATTATAACTATTAGAATTAAATGATAAGTTTCAGTTTCTGCCAATCAGCATCGTCTTCCTAATAACGACTAGAAATAAAAAAACTGCGTTTGCCAAGCGTGGCAACTACAGGGGAGGCCTATGTTCAGCAGTGAAAAAATGAAAATGAAAATGAAAAATACTTTATTTGACAGACAGCACCTTTTCAAATAATTTAGCAGTGGTTCTCACACTAGGCACGCAGACCAGTAGCGTGAGAGCCATATACACATTAACAAAAAACAGAAATTTGTGCACGGCTGACTTTACAAAGCTTTCCCTTTAAATATCTACTCCAATTTATTTATGGTCTATAGATATAAACATATACTTAAACATATATATACACACATTAAATATATTACAACATATATATATATATATATATATATATATATATATATATATATACACACATACATATTACAATTTGTTAATATTACAGTGTTTTGAATTTGCAATTACTGCTATAATAACAATATCAATATTGGGCATGTAGCTACTATGACAATGTTTGAAGCAGATTTTCTGTTTGTTCATATCTAAGCGTAAGCAACCAATTTCGTATTTTTCTTCTAGCTGTGTTCGTTGAGTAATCTCTTATGTCCCATGCAATGGACTTTAATATGCTGTAATAATACTCTCTGTATTACTTTAGCACCTTTTCAGCCACGATCATAAGTTGTTTTAGTTATTTTTAAACAAAACTCAAGATTTTCTTTAAAAAATTTAAAATACTTGAACCAAATTTGCAGCATTCCTCGTAATGAATGAAATGCTAATACTACTTTCTATTCAGTCACGGCGTAATATACCCGGCGGACGAATCAAGTGATGTTTTTTCCCAATCTATAAATACTTCAGAAAACACGTTTATACACCTAGTAATTGGAGTCTAATAGTGAGTAACTTTAAAGTCAAAAGACACATGTATTTTTTTATCAGTAATACAACACACTTGAGAAAATTAAAAAAAAACTTAGTTTAACCAATTTAGTTTCCACTAGTAATTAAATCACGCAGAACGGAAAGCAAAATATTACAAAAGAACAGCCTATATTCGTAAAGTAATGTAAGTTAAGATGTAATGTCACATCGGGACAAAAACATTCCAAAAAAACAAGGATTTATACTTTCGGTACGAATGCTTGTGGGACAGGATTCGGCGCATAACCCACAGCGCAAGTTAGTGCCCACAGATGTTTTTACATCTTTATGTAAAAATGCTTAAGTTTATAAAAACAACCTAACAAGTATTTATTTCTGTCTATATTCAATTCACACAAACAACACTACGAATAAGTAGAAGTTATAAAACGTACATAATAAAGTGCATTGGCCAAGTAATTGGACGTCCTCGTTTCGTAATCACGTCGGCCATTCCGTCGCATTATACCGACCATCTATTATATACAATAACAGGCACCGAAAACAAAATATTGTACATTTACCGATTAATGCACTGTAGACTGGTTGTATGCGCAACTTTATCTGTGTGAATTTATAAAAAGAAATAACGGTACACAGTGTGTATAGAAAAAATACCCATACCAACCGATATTTAAATGGTGAATCTCACCATCATCCTTCACAGTTAGCTACCGTGGGTAAATCTTTGTTTCAGAGAGCACGAGGGATCTGTGACAGAAAACATCTGGCCGCCGAACTTCAGCACGTCAAGCAAGTATTGCAAGACAACAAGCTTCGGGTCCCGCGCCTACGTCACAGTGACCGAGTGAAGCCCGCCACAGTCGAGCGTGTACCTGCTGTACTACCATATGTCAGAGGAGTCACAGACAAGGTTGGCTACATCCTGAAGCGAGCTTCTATTAAAACATACTACAAGCCGCCGAAGAAGATTAGTCAATTTTTACCATCTGTCAAGTGTAATATCCCTCTACAAGATGCAGGAGTGTACAAGTTAGATTGTGAATGTGGTCTCTCTTACATAGGTCAAACAAAAAGATCCATAAAAAACCCGCGTGAAAGAACATATAGCTGACGTGAAGCACCGACGCTCCGGGAAGTCTGCAGTCTGCGATCATGTTCAAGATCGTCCCCACCATTACATTCGTTTTGATAAACCACAAATTCTCGCAAAAGAACACCGATTCCTACCAAGGATGATACACGATTCTATTGAAATTAAAAAACATCCAAATTTCAATAGAGAAGATGGTTGGGTGCTGCCACCTGCTTGGGATCCTATAATTAGCAAAATTAAACCCAAACCTAAGCATACCACTGCAAGACTTCATGATACTATAAGCTCGTTTTCCGTAAATCGGGCCAAAAATTAATATTAAAAAACTGAAGGTAGCCGGACTAACTATGACATTGGGACGTCAAACATCTCAGTCCCCCCCGTGACCATGGTTGCTGTAAAGCACCCGAAACGTCGGGAATTAAAAAATAAGTAAAAGTAGTGAAATAAACGCGATAAAATCCGTAAATTTAGTTTTATTCAATGTGTAGTGTTCGCGTAAATTTAAGAAATCATTATATTTCCATTAGATAATTTTAACAGATTAAATTTCTATGTAAGGTAAAAGTAATTTAATATCAAAAGAATCGTTAAAATTATCTTACAATTGACGAAGATATCGCGTAACATACAAAAAAAAATACAGTCGAAAACCTACTTTTTTAAGTCTGCTAAAAATCAATCATAACACTATTATTATTAATCATGAAATTGGCCAACAAAGGTAGGACCGCACTAGGCGGAACTGCACCGCAGCGGAACTGAGCGACACGAGTTGGTCAGTTGATCAACTTTGTTCCGTTGCCACTTAGTGCGTGTTGTCTCATATAATTTCATATAATATAAATATGTTGACGCGTTGTGCCGCTCAGTTCAGGTACGGTGCAGTTCCGCCTAGTGCAAACCTTTACTGTTAGCTGTAAGAGGAAATTAACGAGTTTTGGAAGGGGCTTCAAGATTTTTGCGTAAATAGGCTTAGTGAACTGGAGTGCTCGTAGCTATGGGCCGTTAATGGATGCCCCTATTACCAGTCTTTTAGTGCAAATTTCAACCCTAAAAATTCGTACTAATATATTATTAGTACGAATTTTTAGGGTTGAAATAAATATATAGAGAAGTAAGAAAAATAAATTATATAGAGATTTAAAAATTATTTATGTGTATATATTTTGTATACAAAGAGCACAATAATTTTTAAATCTCGTTTTAATCGATAGCTTTTTTTCAAAAATGTAATGAACATTCATTTTCAATTATATTATTATGAGAACAATTTCAAAAACGACGATAATAAAAAAGGCGTAATGGCTCAAATTCTAGCCATCCTGTGCCGAATATCGTACTTTTGTGTATCTAATGCTAACCTAGCATAGGTATTGGTATTTGTAGGTGGTGGCATTTCGTAGAATACCTTATTGTAGGTAATTTAAGATGCACAATAATAAATTCGTAACAGCTTCTTATTTTAAATCGTGCGTATTACGATTACGAGCATGCAATATGAAACAATAATCATTTTGTTTTAATGTTTTATTACGTACACGTACTGAAGTGTTTTGATTTTAAAACCAAAACACTTCAGTAAGTGTACGTAATAAAACCAAAACCTGTTTCAAAAGAAAAATCGAACTCCTTAAGGAGTTTTTGAAACTAAACAATTAATTAAAACAAATTGTGATAAAAAATATGTCGCACATAGATTTCTTATAAATTAATCATCCAAGTTTTCGAAACATCATCATCATTACGGTACACCACAAGTCCACTGCAGAATTTGATTTCCTTCATAGTTTCCCGCAAAACACGGTCCTGAGCTGCTTTGCTTCATGAGTTTTTCATTTATGTACAGTCATAATTATTTCAGCCTATTTTTATCTTGCTCAAAAATAATGAAAATATAAGGTTGTCTTAATATACTTACTACAAATGTAAGATAGAAAAGCAAGTGCCTTATATCTTTTATGAAACATTCAATTCAAAAACCAATTTTATAACATAGACATTATAATTATTAAAATTTATTTCAGTTTATGGCAACCCTGATTATTAATACATGGCTGAAATTAGGTAGGTACTTCATATTTGGTATCCTAAAACCAAATAACATTATTTCTCGCTAAAATAAAATAAAATTCTCACAAAAAAAATACTGCATTACTATGTCTATAGTCATCAGTGATGAGTGATGAGTGAGACAGTCATCATACTCATGCAAGTCACAAAGCCTAAACATGGTATTATGTAAAATGAGCCAACTCTATCGTGACCATAAATTATCAAAATATTTGGAAAATGATCGTTGTCCATTGCATTAGGTGTTGTGATTTTAAATTTAACACTGATAGATTTTTTTATAACTATGTGGTAATATTTGAAATATATTTTTCTTTAAAGCCGTGGTAGCTCAGATGATTACCGCTAGCTGTAAATATAACAGAATGCGAGCAACCCTGGTTCGATCCCCGCCGGCATCAATGAAATTGTTAATTGCAATTTTAAGTGCTGATTTACCACGTGCTCGGAGGTGAAGGAAAACATCGTGAGGAAACCTGCATATCTAAGGAATAAGAAAAAAAATATTTCGAAGACGTGAAGTTCGCCAACACGCATTGGGGCAGCGCGGCGACTTCCTTGCCCTAAAACCCTCTCAGAAATGAGGGGAGGCCCGTGCCCAGCAGTGGGATGTATATAGGCTGTAACTTTCTCTAAATACGAATAGATTTATAACTATGTGGTAATATTTCAAATATATTTTTCTGAAAATACAAATAATTTTTAGTTGACAATATTTATGGTAAAAACCACTAGAAATCTTATTTTTGAAGTAAAAAGGCGAAATGGCTGGTATTAGGGGCGGGGCTGGCATTAAGGGCATTCACCCTACAACCGATGAGGAAGAAATCTTTTGCGTTTACTTCTTGCAACTCTGTAGTCTATACATAATATTAGAAAACATTTATGTTATTCTTTCCTCATAAAGTGGAAGCAATAATAAATTATTAGGTAGATACAATAAAAGACTAAAGACTTCTAGGGACAATATTATGGTAAATAAAATCTAGATAGGTACCTTTATGATAAAAATATATTAGGCAAGATTCTTAGAAATAAGATTTATAATAACCCTACACCCACCTTATCTTACTTTTCTTCATAATTAATATTAACATAAATGATGTCATGATACTACCACAGTATATAAATCCATATGTCTTTATTATACTGTGGCACTACTATACGAGTGTGCGTTGCGTGTATGCAGTAGAGTGTATAAGGCTGAGTTATGTGCGTGTCCGCGGCGAACCCTATATAAGGTCCGTATACGGGTCGTAATGACCTACGCGGCCCCCATTTTCGCACATGCTAAACCCAACTTAATAAATTAACTTCAAATAGTTCAAAATCTCTTCTGTCGTCGGGCTACGAACTCATCCTATTATGTACGTAACGCTGATCTCCACCGAGACTTAGAGCTCCCTACAATTCAGCAGTTCCTCAAATCCCTCTCTGAGAGATTCCTCAAAGCCTCAGAGTCCCACTCAAATCGCCTGATTCGCGAGGCACCTGCCTATGCAGCCCCTCTTCACACTCGCTACAGCGTGCGCAGCCCCCCCCCCCCAACAAGCTTTCGGCTGACCTGAACTGCCTCCTGGCAGCTCAGGCCGAGCCTACTTAACACATCTGGTAATCTGCCTTAGTTAGGCACACTTCTAAGCGGCTATTCGCCGCTTGCGCCCTTCTTTCTGCCAAGGAGGTTCGCGTCCGTTTACGACTTAAAGATCTCTAGTCAGATCGTTAAGCCAATCCCAAAAGGTGGTATTTAGTGGATAAAAGTCTCCACATAACCACGCAGCATGCAATGAGCATTCACCACCTCCCTCCCCCGTTAACGAAGGGTTGCCCTTATTTGCTTCGGGCGCAAAACAAAAGTGTCCGCGGCCCTGTTTATTTGCGAGTTTGTCAAAAGTTGAAAGCCCTTGAAAATGAACTATTGACGCTTAAATATATAGTTGCTTAAAATAGAAAAAGTGAACAAAGAAAGATGAGTAGGAAATCATAAACGCATTAATGGTTTTTCGGACTTTTATACGAAATACCCGATCGGCATTCAAACACTTATCTTGGGTCTTAAGCTTTCTTTATCTTTATAAGCACTATAATTTGTTTATTCTACACCACATACACACAAAGTAACAAACATGAAACAAACCTGACAGGCTCCTGCGGTTTATCCGGGTTCACTTTAACAGTATTTGCGTTCTTGAACACGTCTAATTCTGCCAACTTTGCGGCCGCCTCCTGAGCGCCCTTGAAATTAGGAATCCGGTTGAACACCGGCCGAGGAAACATAGCCAGTCCATTTGTCTCCAGATGTCGCCAAACTTTGAGACGGAAGGATTGCTTCGTTATTTCTTCAGGAAGGGGTTTCTTCGCTGAAAAGGATAGAATAATATTTTAAAAAATTCAAATAAACGGATAAATATTTCAAATATTTACTTTTTCTGAAGTCGATCTAATCAACATCGTAAATTTAAAAAAAGTGCATGTTCAACTGTAAGCTAAATTACGATTATTCATAGCAATCTGGTATGGAATTGTCATAAAGAGCCACGCTGCAGCTATATTATGGTTATAACACGGATGGGTCGGCTCGACCGGGGTAGAACCACGCTCTCACGGAATACCAGCGTAAATCAGCAGCTTACTACTGCCGTGTTTCGTATGGTGAGTATCGAGAATCCCTTTTTACTTTATACAAGGCATTATATCTGAGTCCTCAGAGGTGATATAGCATCTGCATTTTGATTCTTAATCAATGATAAATGTAGGTGTCATTAGCCACAGAAACCACCCGGCCTATGCCGAAATCATGATTAATGTGTGCCACCACAGAAACACTTGCCATCATGATGGCACCTACATTTATCATGATAAATGTAGGTGTCTATTGGCCACTGAAACTACTTGCCGGAAGTGACAAAAACGTCATGATAAATGTAGGTGTCTATTGGCCACTGAAACTACTTGCCGCATGATAATGGGTGGCCCAAACAACAGCCTCATGATAAATGTAGGTGTCTATTGGCCACTGAAACTACTTGCCGTCATGATAAATGTAGGTGTCTATTGGCCACTGAAACTACTTGCCATCATGATAAATGTAAGTGTCTATTGGCCACAGAAACCACTTTGCCAAACCTTATTTTGCAATTCTGATGACTTTAGGAATATCATCATTACAGCCCATCCAAGTCCATAGAACATAGACCTCCCCCATAGAGGTTGGCAACAGCAGTTTTTTTAATAATTTCAGTTGTTATCAGGAAGATACTGCGGACCAAATTCGCACATATGTAGTGAATACTACACTAACAAAGCACAATAATACATACATAATAGAACGGGGAAGGTGCTGCGGCACAACCGAAGCGTGTTGCCGTGACTAGGAACCACTAACATGTCACTAACACGTCTCAATTCATACGTATAAATGTCAACACGAGATATGTTTTGACTCTACAATCGTTTCCAAATTTCCCATGCATATTATTTAGAAAATGCCAAATTGCACGCTATTTACAAATATATATGTATTAAAATCTGTCTGTCAACACAGCGTATCGAGTTTGCAGCAGTGATAATACGACGATTATTGCTTGTATGTGTGCTCCCGGCGGCGCCTATCATCGTACAAAATAAGGTTGACAGCCATTCTATTGAATGTTATAGTATTCTATGGCGGCGCATCTCCTGCTTCAGTTTCCGTCTGTCGCCTTTTAAGACATCCACGGTCCGATTTCGATATTCTTACACCACCAACTACACGGCTATTTATTTCCAAAGTTATCTAAAGTTTTTTTTTTAAATTAAATATAATTATATCTTTTGATTTCTAAGAATTCGATTAACAATAACCCTTACATTACACGTTGTTATGCTACGAGGCTCTGTCTTCCTAAAGTTTAAATTTATTCGAATTCTTATAAAATAATCGTTTGTGCTCTCTCAATCAATACAAAGTTATTTACGCTACGGTATAGAGTATATAGTTGATTTAAATTAATTGTAAAAAAGTTTTTTACAATTAATTCAAATCAACTGTTACTGGCTACTTGATCGAATTTGTCATCAAATCATTGTATATAATACGCGGAAAATAATGTTTGTATTTAGTTAATGTTAACAGTTAACAAGCTATTCATGTAAAATGTTAAATGTCAATTTATGAGTAACATTACTTATTACTGCCTTATGCTTGACGAAAGTAGCAAACTCTTCACCCCACTCTATGACGTCATCATTCGTAAAAGCTTGAATAGCTGAAAATACTACTGCTTTGAAAACAAAAAACTAATTAAGATTGTTGTTTACAAGGGTTATTCCGTTTATGAGCAGTTCTCAAAAATTTTGTACGGTAATTTTTTTTTTGATTTTTAAAAATGTATTTGTTTTAAATGATTTTATTAAAGAATTTGCTAAAAGTAATATAACATGTGAGTAATTTAATGTTTGTTACCTACCTATATACCATTTAGGAATAAAACAGGTTTATTTCTGAACATGGCACTACCGTGTTCAATTTTGCTACTAAACAAAATTCATTTAATTAAATGTAGTTCTTTGATTATTCCGTGTTAAATATTTTATACGATTACATATGAAGGCATTTAAACCCCCAAAAAATTTTACTTGAAAAAGTTTGCTAATTTTTAAATTACAATATAAACATTTTCAACTGTGTTACTTAGGACGAAAACCAAACAATTTTTTTCTATGTATTTTAAAATAAAAATAAAATGTAAATATTGTTTGATGATATAAAATTACAAATTTTCGGCAAGTATTAATAAGTAAATATAATTAGTTAAAGTCCAAAACTAAAATTTTTGTCAGTTAAAAACCTTCGTTATTTTTATGGACAGTAACAAAATTGATTATGATTGGTAACCAAGAAATTATTAAGGCCCATTCACATTGTTAGGAATACTGGTATAATTGGATTTAGTTTAATAAACGGAAAATAATAATAGGACTCTTAATTAAAATAAGCAACCCTTTATTTTAAAATTTATGATGTAACATACGGGAAATAGACTTAATTTCAAGAAACTGGTAGATTTCCCTAAATAAAAGAAAACTCTGTCGTTTGTTGTTGTTAATTAATATATTTGAATGAGAATGCATCTTCATTCTCATCAAAATGCAAGGATTTAGAAATATATATGATATAGAAGTTGATATTTCAAAAAAGTAATTTTTAAAAATGCTAAATCTATCCGTTTCAAATCTTTATAAATTGTTGTAATGATGCTTCTAAGGCTTAATTTATTTATTTAAGGTTTTAATAACCAGAGCTATTTATTGCTGTTTTCTAGTTTTTTTTTTTTACTTAAGAATCATTTTCAGTTTAATACGCAGCACTAAATAAAATTATTCTTTTATTTAGTGCTGCGTAAGATTTACATTTTATTGAATTTTTTTTTCGTTTTCGTCAAGTAATTTTTGTAGTAATATTTCAAACATTTTGCTGTAATATTTCAATGTCATGTCGCGCTCTCTTTTTTATCTTTTTTATTTTCTTGATTCTTTGCCGCTTCTGTCCCTTCCAACGAATGACTGACGTTTTATGATTTTTGTTGATTTTGTTTTCCATTTTGCACTGCATTCATTTTCCTTATCTCTCCAATACTTTCTTTTTACCCGTCGTCACTAAGCTCAGATTTTTTTATGTTTAACCTTCATCCTTTCTAAATTTTTACGTCTTGATTCTTCTAACTTTTCTGGTTCATTCAGTCTTATTTCGATAGCGTTCCATTTCTTCCGTGGCAGTTAGCGTGCCAGTACAACCTTAAAATTAAAATCATTTATTTGAGATTTCATTCAGCACAATAAAAAAAAACTGTTTAAATAAACAAAAACACGACTTCAATGAAATCTTCGCTTTTGAAAGTTAAGGAGAAGAGGTATTACTTCGTTAAAATTTGTTTTTCGTTTATTTGACATTTGTTTCACCATTTTTTATTTAAAAAAACTTTCTATACTATAATTTAAATTTACTTTAGTGATTTATTTAATAAAAAGTTAGAATAGAATATCCTATTACTACCAAAAAAAGAATTATGAAAATCGGTCATGCAACACAAACAAAATAAGTTTTAAATACTTTTTGCAGACAAGCTTTTATACGCATACTAAATTTCGTTCAGTTGCTATTAACCATTAAGCAGTTCCTTCATGAGGAGACACTCTTGTCTGGGACATCAGGTTAAATCTGTCAAAAAACTGCTTTTTCATAAAAACTAAAAGTGCTTGCAAAATTTTATCTTAATCAGATACCAAAAATGGTTTGCAAATTTTGACGGACATATTTTTACTTACATACGAAGTGCAAGTTAAATAAAAGCAAAAACATACGTGGTCGAATTGTGTGGTGTTTTTTTTTTTTTGGAAGTCTGTTTAAAATAAATCATGGCTAAAAACTATGTATGGCATCGCCAACATGAAATTCGTTCTGGATTTCAATTAAATATATTCAGCAGATTATACGAGAGCGAAAAACAAATACTTACCTAACGTTAAACATACATTTCATATTCTAATATTTTCTATTCGTTGGCAGTATGCTAATGTATTCGTCCCTTAATGATATCAATTGTGTTACCAATGCGATCAACATATACGTTACCTACTCAAAAGTAACAAAATTGAGGTAACAAAATTTGAGGTTATGGGATTCTTTACCGCCTATTTTTATTTTATTAGCTAACGTTGTAAAAAATAGTGAAAACAAGAGTGAATGCACATAGAAATCATTAGAAAAATGTTCTTTTTAATAAAGTATGTACTTACCGTTTAAAGTCCAGTAACAAGTTTGAGTTTAATCGGTACCCACGACACTCGTGCACGGATTGTTTGACACAGAATACATGTCAGCCTACCAATTTAAGATGAAAGGACTTAAACATGGAGAAAAATGTTTACATAGCATTAAAAACATCCAAAAAAGTAGTAATTTTTACAAAAATACATGTGAATATCATGAACAATGTTGATAATCAAATTGAGTTAAATTTTGGACAACAAATAAATTGAAAACACTAATAAATTAAGTAAATACATGTTCAAAGGTATCATTGTGTAAATAAATAGTGATGTGATTAATCAAAATGGAAAGATGTACTCCTAAAATTTTTATTTTTTGGTAAATTCAATTTTCAAATCATGTGATAGGAGATAGGACAATCTACAATCCATACAAAAAAATAAACAAGTTTCAGAAAATAAATATTTTATATATTATTTTTAAACGCTTCTGGTAGTATTTTATTTGTGATTAATTATATCTATAGATATGACTTTAAAAGATTTAAAAAAATCAGATAAATATGGTGTCTTATATAGTCACAAAATAAACACGAACTTAAAGGACATC